AATACAAGATGAGCTGGAATGTTTTGGTACGCCAGAAAGCAAGGAAGTACTGAAAGAGTGACAGGGCCTATTGAAGGAACACAGGAACTCACTTTGAAGGGGTCCCAATAGGAAAATCTGAGAACAATGTGAACACCAAAATAAGGATACTAACTCTTTGACTAAAATAGGGAACCATGAGCTCATATAGATATAAACAAGCAAACTGAAAGTTTTATGAGGAATGTGATCAAGCAAACACTTAATTACAAAGAGAAGACTAACTTTACCATGGAGAAGCTTGGAAGATACCATCTATATCAAGAGATCAAAGTAAACACTATTCAGAATGAGACAAATAGAAATTATTTGCCACCTGATAAGATGAAACAAGAACACAGCATCACTAATATTGAATGTCAACAGTAATAGAAAAATTTTAAATAAAATGTATAAAGAACACAGCATCACTTCTGTAATTTTCCTGTCAAAAATGTGTAACTCTAAATCTAATCATAAGGCAACAGCAGACAAACCTAAATTCAGGAATATTCTACAAAATAAGTGCCCTGAAATTTTCAGAAGTGTCAAGATCAAAAAAGAATTTGGCAGTATATTAATCTAGTACCTCTGAAACAAGACATACGCAACAAATACTAAAACCACTAAAAAGATATACCCTGTTGTGGTTCAGGGAAGGGTCATGATGCTTGCCAGGCCAATAAAACATCTCTCAAGAACATCTAACACCCTCTGTTGTGTTTTTCATAGTTAATCAAGCTCACCTCTCTTGAATAAACGCTGAGAAACTGTTTCACACTGAAGAGGACTAAAGAAACGTGACAACCAAATGCAACAACCCGTGATGCAGAACTGGATCCTTGAACTATAGAAAGTATTGCTGAGACAATTGGCAAAATTTGATTGGGGTATGAGGATAAGACAATATTAATGTATCAATGTGAATACCCTTATCATGATGGTTACATTTTGCTTATATAGAAGAGTATCTTTGGTTCTAGGAAAGACACACTAAAGCATTTGAGGAGGTGAAATATGACATGGGTAACTAATTCTCAAATGGTTTAGGAGAAAAAAATGTTTTTGCTACTATACTTGCAAGTTTTCTGTAAGTTTGTGATTTCAATTTTAAAGATTAACTACTCTAAAATGTTCATACCAGTGGTACTTCATATTCTCCCTCCTGCTTTTTGTGTTTTTTTTTTAGGAGATAAATTTTATTTAATTATCTAGTTTTTTGTTTGTTTATTTCATTCAGGAGTATCTATGAGGGCAGGAATGTTGGTCTATGTTTTATTCACTGCTGTGTTCCTGAGTGCTTAGAGAATTGCCTGAAGCATAATAAGTGCTCAATAAATATTTAATGAGTAAATGAATGGAGAGCCTATTAAATAAGTAAATGTTTTAAGAAAGATAATATGTAACCATTATAAAGACAAGTAAAGTAAAACTATTGCTCTCATCATCAATGACAGCTTGTTAGAAGTCTTTTTTGGAAAATAGTTTGGGAATTAAGAGCCGTAGTCCTGACCAGTGTGGCTCAATTGGTTGAGTATCATTCCACAGAGCATAAGGTTGCCAGTTCGATTCCCAGTCAGGGTGCATACCTGGGTTAGGGATTCAGTCCCTAGCTGGGCACATACAAGAGACAGCGGATTGATGTTTCTCTCCCTCTCCCTCTCCATCCCTTCCCCTCTCTCCAAAAATAAATAAATAAAATCTTTTTTTTAAAAAAAAAGCCATAGAAATATTAATATCCTTTAACCTAGAAATTCCACTTCTGGGAATTTATTCTAAGGAACTGTCATGAAGTATGAGAAAGCAATCACAGTGTCAAATTGTTCACTGCAGTGTTATGTATACCTCCCCCTAAAAAAGGAGAAATAAACATACAAAGATATTGTATATTTATTTTGTGACATGTTACACATGAAAATTCTATTTCCCTTGAAATTCTATTTGTTTTTAAACCCCATTTTATTTGAAATTCTAATAAGGTGGGAAGATTCTTTTATGTATATGATTACAACTAAATAAAAAATTCCCTATAATAAGCAACTAATGTATTGTGAAAATTTTTATTTGCTCTATTTTCCGAATTGTTGGCAATATGGTTATAATTTATATTCTTAAAATACATTTATAATAAATATATATTTACTTTTTTAGGCCATGGTCGGGTAGCTCAGTTGGTTAGAGCAGCGCCCCAATATGCCAAGGCTCCAGGTTAGATCCCTGGTCAGGGCACATAAAAGAATCAACCAATAAATGCATAAATAAGTAGAACAATAAATTGATCTCTCTCTTCTCCCCTTCCTTTCTCTCTAAAATCAATTTTTATATATACATACTTGTGTATATATATTCATTTTTTAACAATACATCATGGACAAAATTAGTCAGATTAGAAAGTATTAACCCATGAAAGTTTCTTAAAAAACTTTAAAACCTGTCTGAATAAAATACATTAATAGAAGACAGTGGTTTACATAGAATCAAAAGAAGAATTTGGCAGTATATTAATCTAGTACCTCTGAAACAAGACATACACAACAAACACTAAAACCACTAAAAAGATATACCCTGTTGTGGTTCAGGGTAGGGTCATGATGCTTGCCAGGCCAATAAAACATCTCTCAAGAACATCTAACACCCTCTGTTCTGATTCCATCCTCCTCAGAGAGCCTCCTGATTAGCCTTGCCCTCCCAATTACCTCTTTCTCAGAAGGAGATATTCTAGCCCTCCATGTAGCCACATGAGTACTTGACACGTGGCTAATCCAAACTGAGATGTTCTGTAAAGGCAAAATCTACCACCCCAGGTTTTTAAGACTGTATGAAAAAAAATGGAAAATATCTCAGTAATAATGCTACATTGATTACATGTTGAATTTATAATATTTTGGGTACATTGGCTTAAATAAAATATATCATTGAAATTAATTTTATCTGTTTCTTTTTACTTTTCTTAATATGGCTACTGAAAATTTTTAAATTACTTTTATAGCTCATATTTGTGGATAGTATTATATTTCTTTTGGAGAGCACTGATCTAAAATATTGAACAAGAATACTGTAGTCAATGTAAATATACAGTCTCCCTATAAACTAATAAATTGACACAGCTGATTTAGACAGGCACAAGTCTGTCCCTCAGAAATTGATCAACTTTGCACTAACATAATCAAGCTTTCCTAAACAGAATATGAGACCTTCACTGAAGTGAGCAAATCAAGATTCTGGCACCTCTGAGATTCCCAAGTGCAAGCTGTCTACCTCCCCGTCATGTCTCTCTTGGCTCATAATCTCATGTTTAGACTGTGTTCTTCAAGGGATACAATTGAGTATTGTTAATCTTCGTTTTCCTAGCACTTAGGTGTCTTAAACAAAGGTATTAAAAAGTCTATTAAATGAATGCTCTTCCAAATTTTATGGCTTTGGTCACAGCTATACACCTCCTTACTTTTGAAAAGGATTTGTACATAACCTCTCCACTGTTTCTTCTTCATCTGTTAATTGCAAATGACTTGTAAAGATGGTACACAGAAAAACCTGTAAGAAAGTAATTTTCAGTCATGTGAACTAAAAGTAATGAAAAATAACTAATATTATGGAGTGAAAACTCATAACCATATAGCACACTGTATTTTATTATCAAGGACAGAGCCTTAGAAACAGATCACAAAATTCTTATTTCATCACTACGCAATGGCCTACAATTATATGACCTCTTGTTTGTCCTTGAATTCCAACAGCAACCACGAGACTGATACAGAATAGTGGTGGAGGGGAAAATAGATGTCACAGTAAAGGATGTTTATCATAGGATTAGTATAACACTTTGGACTCATAACAGACCAGATGGCAATAACCCCTTTCTCAGCAAGTGGCTTCTCATGTCCTGCAGGTTGTAAAAAATTCACTATCAACTTCTCTTGCAAATAATTATTTTTGAATACTGTGGCAGGATCAAAACAATGCTGAAGACACACAATCCCTCAATATAAGAAGAATAAGAACTGTAAACACTTACTCTATTAAAAGGAAAATCCTTCTCTAAAAAATGACGTTATCCCACAGAAAATCTTGGCTTCTTAAAATATAGGTATGTTCTCATCTTTTATTTTAAATGAAGAAAAATGACCTTCGTTTTATCTGATTTTGTGGCTGCTTTGTAAAAGCCATTGAAAATGCCTGAGAAACTACTGACATTAGTTCCACTGAATTTAAATACTTACACTTGCTAATTCTATAGAAACATGAACGCATGCTTTAATATCTTTCTAAAAATTGTTTACACAAAAATTCAATTGTCTTCTCCACCTTCCATAGCTCCAAAGAAACCTTTCTGGTGTCAAAGACAAAATGAAGCAAATATTCTTTAAAAGATGACTTACTGATTTCAGTAAAAAGTGTAATTTGATGACAGTTTTTCTTTAATAATTTGAGATACTTCTAACAAACTACAAATTCAGTTGCCCTAACTAAAAGAAGAAAATAATCCTAAATCTGCAAGCTGAACTTTACAAAATTTCCACAATGAAACCATTCTTTCTTTGGTGGGGGGTGGGGGGGAAGGTGGGGGTGGGGGAAGGAAGGAAGGAAAGGAGGAAGGATCCTATATATGTTAAAGCTCTTATCATTTTACATGTGGGCTGCATATCATTTTTCAATGCTTCCCCCTGGGTAGATGGCTGCCCTATGTATTTTACAGAATTGATTAGTCCCTGGATACCGAGTTGATTCTGGCTTTAAGAGAGGCAATAGCAAAGACACAGAAGAGCAGGCTACAGACAAGAAACAAAGGTCACCAAAGTGCAATCCTGAACTGGAACCGGGACAAACAACAGGGAAAAGCTAAGTGGCCTCGGGCCAAAGACATTTCCACTTGTCTTGGAAAAGGTATACACTGCCGCTCCTAGATGCTAAATTGGATGGTATTCATGAATGTGAAACTAAGAATAATGCAATATTTAGAATTAAATTAAAAAGAAAACAAGTTCTAAATCGTTAAGCGAGAGTTTAAAATGTTTTAGAGTGGGTGAAGCGAGTACACACAAGAAGAAAAGAAATGCACCAGATTGTAAAGGCTGGGGTGGACCTCTTTCTTAATATCCAGTGTCCTTTGTCTTAAGATTTGGTGCAACATATCTTTAGGGAAAAAAAAAAAAAAAAACAGAGTGAGTGAAGAAAAGGTCCCAAGGCCCTGACAGACGAGTTTCAGTGTGCGTTAGCTGGCCGGAGAGGGCGAGAAGCGGAGAGAAGACCGAGGGCGCCTTCTGCCGACCGTACGCGCCAGACCCCCCGGGCAACGGGTCCCCTCACACCGCGCTTGCGCAACTCTCGAACCGCAACTTGAGGGCGCGCGCCAGCCCTCGCTGATCTGAGGCCGGCGGGAGGAGGGGGAAGCGGGGACGAGAGCACGTGACCGGGGTTGCAGCTTTTCTGGCCCAATCCCAGGCGTTTCAGGAAGCGCTGTTGCGGGGCAATTCGGTTCGCCTGCGTTTGTCCGCAGGCCTGACCTCTTCTTACTCTCCTTGCTTCTCGACTCCGCTCTTGAATCTAAGAATCTGGTTTGGCAGACCTTTTGCTATATGTCCCCCGAATCAAATTAGGGGCAAACGAGGTGACTTCCGGTCAAAATGGCGGAGAGAACAAACATTCTGAGAAGCTGAATAATTTGGCCAAGGTCACAGATAACTTTTTTTTAATTAGGGGAACGTGCCCAACTGGTGCTTTTTATTTTTATTTTTTAAAGATTTTATTTATTTTTTACAGAGAGAAGGGAAGGAGAAAGGGTGAGAAACGTCGATGAGAAACGAGGGTGAGAGAGGTTGATTGCCTGTCCTCGCCCCAGCTGGGACAGAACCTGCACCCGAGGCATGTGCCCTGACCGGGAATGGAACTGGCGACCTTTCACTCTGCGCGCCGGGTACGCCAGTCGGGGCTGTTTATTTTCCTCCATGGTCGTTTCTCCCATTTGCAGTCCTGTTGCTGTCTTCCCAAGACGTTCAGATACTACCGCTTGAGACTCCAGAATCTGGAGTGCGCTCTGCTGTAGAAACAGTTCTCTAAGGAAGGGAAAACTGCTTTCTTCCTCAGGAGTTGAGGATTTTGGAAAAGTCAGATAAAAACTTAAAGTGGCAAGTGTCCCATAGGACTAGGACACACAATTTACCTCATAAAACAAATCCCAGAAGAGCGCTTTATTCCAATTTAAGCATTTATATAAAATCTCCCGATCTGTTTATTCAGTCCTATCAATAATCTGAAAAAATGACGGTAGGATAAGGTTACCTGCATGATGCGGTTGGTTCGGCCCAGAGCCGTATGACAGAAAAAAAGGACTTAAAGAAACTAAATCTTAAGGTTGGAGTCCTTGACGTGAGAAGGAAATGGGGTAAAAGTGAAATGGATGAGGCTTAATTGTAGAGTTCTAATCCAAGGGCCGAGGGCTACAGTCTAGGAACTTTGGCAATGGGGAAGCAAACAATACTGCAAAAGGATAAAATGCCAAATATGTCAAAACAATTAAAAAGGGAATTTCCCACCACATAGCCCAATATAGATAGCTTGGTAAAAATAAATAAAATAAGCCCCCTCACCTGGAATCCTATTCAGAAAGATCTCACTTATTTCATACAAATATGAATCCTCAATAGTGCAAAACTGAGTTCATTCTTAACTCAGAATGTCAAGAAGGCAGAGAAGGGAGTGTATGCACAGCTAAAAGCCCATTGAACTTTGACTGGCTTCTCTGCCAATTTGCACTGTGATGGTAATTGCTGCTTCCCTCGCAGACGCTAGTTTCCTCTGCTGCTGCTGTGGGTGGTTAGGTTTCATTGTTTTGACTGCTATTCCTTCCATTACACATAAAGATTTTTCTACTAGAATTCCTCAGTCACAGCTGTCAATTTAAATGACACTGAGCTCCACTGAGCCTGTTGCTGGTGTCTCCACGTCAAAACAGAGGACTCGAGAGAAAATGCCTCAAAGTGGACTGAATCTGTAAGTCACAGCTAAAGTGGAAAGCACATACATGGCATTCATCTACAAGACGGTGCAGTCTATTTAACAGAACCAGAGAAATAGGGAAGTATTTACATTGTCAAAGTAACTTTTTGAACGACCCGAATAGGTTGTTTTCACCAGCACTGTGTGCCTATTTAGTGGTCTGTGTCACTATTGACCATTAATGTAGATGTGTCTATTTCGTAAGTAACCAGGTCCAAATGATGCCTTAACAAAAATTTAAATTATTAGTAAACATTCATAAAATGTAAAGTCATACTTGCTTTTTTTCTTTTTTAATCAGAATTGATATTATAGGATAACCCTACTTCAGGGTCTTACCACCCAAAAAAGTTACTTAGATTTGTACAAAATATAAGTATTTCACAGTATATAGTCTTTTTATAGATTCTCCTGGAGATCCACTCATTTTGTAATTTCCACTTTGTGGTATAACCTGTTCACCTTCAAGTTAGGGTTGTCCAATAAACTAGTAACACAAGTAGCGGCCTGGGAACAAATTATACAAGCGAGGTTCTCAAATCTTAGGCTGATTAATACATGAGAAAGGAACACAATGTAATGGTATTATTAAGCAACGGCTGCAGAATATGATTACATCCAGTCCTAGAAACAGCAGAAATTTTCAGCAGTTGGGAAAATAAATGTCCTATGTTCTAAAGCCTCTCTTTAAAATATAGAACAAGGAATAAACAATATTTCAGTGTTTTGAATTACAATCTCTCAGAGAATTGCTTCATTACCTAACACCTCCACCAGAAACTTTAGTAGTTCTACCATTTTCTTTAACCAAGAAGGAAAAGGCTTTAAATTGTTTAAAGATGTAAACCAAAAATATACTCTACTAATTTCCATAAACAATTCCTGTAGTCAATATTTCCCATCTCTCAGGAAGCAAAGTTGCATAATTAAAATACCTTTTCAATATTAAACTGTAAAGCAATCAAAAAATATTAACATTATACTTGTGCCTTGATCTAATACATTCCAGACTTGCCTACAAATGAAACATTTTAAAAACCAATTAGCACAAGAAAACCAAAAGAGAACAGAAAAAAACATTGTTTGGTTCAGGTTTGATTTACTCGAAGGAAACATGCAAAAAATATGTATGTTTGTATTGAGATTATCTAAGGGTTCTGAATAAAGAATTTGAACTCATTTTAGGAAACGATGTATGATAGGTTTATAATCACTTAACTATAGATTACTGTTTGTTCAAATGTAGGTAATAAAGTTATTACTTCAAACCAAAATACAGAAAGGACTGGCTCAGTTTGCAACTCCAAAAGGAAAATTAAGGAAATCCAGAATTTTTTCTGCTTCTTGGAAAAAAAAATAAGGCAGATCATGAATTCAACTATTAAATTGTAATGTCTCATATCACATCCCAGAGTTAACTTTCAAGCTATTTCTTAGTTTTTTTAAAAAAAGATTTCCAATGTCCCTAATGGTGTGTTCAAAAGTGAATGTCATAAACTGAAACTAATCATTAACAACAAATCTTCAATTTATTTGAAGCAATTCAGTTCCAAAAACTTTTTAAGGTACAGCAGTCACAGAAAAAGACGGGTCAGAAACAATAATCAGGAGTACTGCATTTTTTGTTTGTTTTAACACTGTCATGGCTTTATTCAAAACACAGTTGCACAAAAGTATTAACTTCAAAGATTTTTACGGAGAGTTTTGAGGAATTTAACACACTATATACATACTGCCATACAAAGAGCATTAAAATAGGACCAAAAACTTCTACAAAATATAAAACCCACCCTTACTTATTTGCATGAAAATATCACCCACAAAGCTAAATAAGTCTTAAAAAGTTATTTGGAGGCTCCTAAGTGTTGTTTTCAAACCAAAGAAATCTAATTTTGATTGCACAATAAGATGATTGATAAGAAAGTCAATATATAGATTTAATTTTAAAAATAATTATTTTGTACTCTGGCATACTAGGTAATGAGAAGTCTTTGGGACTTAAACAGGGCATTACAATTGTTAAAAAGGAGTAAAATAATAGCTATTTGGATATTCGAATCCCCCAACTAAACTTATCTCAAGAGTTTTATTTCAGTCCGTTGTGCAACTTTTTTAAATTTATCCACAAATTACTTTCTAATTTTTACTTTAAAACCCCAAGTCATACATTTTTAAACTAAAAAAAAAACAACAGTGCTATACTCAAGTAATTTAAATGTGTCCGAGTATGAAAGTATAACTTCAATTAATTTGCTGACACTAACTTAAAAAAACTTACAAATATTCAAAACAAAGGGGGAAAAAATTTAAAGAGCCAAGATTAAAAAAGCAATCACCTTGAACATGAAGCCTCCACAACAAAAAGATGTACTTGTCTACTCATGTTATAATTAGTAGCCATATAAGAAAACACACACTCGCACTTTTCCCAAATATTTTTCTACTTTTAATGGACATACACTTGAAAACAAATCTTAATTTTAATATAGATTAAATTGCAAATATTTTTCCCACTGCCTAATATATTTCAATCAAATGCTGTATCTGGTCATTGTTAAAACTATAGAAATAATTAAAGGTTCCATTCAGAAAAATTAGAAATACTTGCAGAGTGGTAGCTAAGTCCTTTGGGAAGCTAACTTAAAATTTTGGCTTGAATGTCTTGTTCATTATCAACAGGCAATTATTCTGACTTTTGAGGTACACTATTGCTGCTTCCAAAAGCCCCTCTGCTTCTTTTCTTTCTTTATCCTACTACACAGTCTGTACATCTTGTCAACCAAGAAAGATTTCCAGTAAGCAGTCTGTTGCCTCAAACTGCATTGATAATAATATTCGTATCTCAGAAAACAGTCAGTTCCACTTAGCTTGTTTAAAACTGAGACAGGTCCGAAAAGGTAGTTGAGATATAAGACCAAAGGTTTTCCTGGGTATTCATATGTATCCCAATTTTTTTTTTTTTTTTTTTTTTTTTTGGATTAGAGGGAGAAGAGCGAAACAGGAAAAGAAGGTGATCATAAAGGAATTACCAAAAGGAAAATGAAAAATGCACACTTAAACACAAACAAACAACCGTTAGCATGTCATGATCTTCATTCGGCTTGAAGAACAAAGGGCTTACCTGCACATCTCTGAAC